TTTTGGTTTTATTTATTTATTTATTTTTGAGACAGGTTCTGTCTATACAACCACTCTGGCTGTCCTAGAGCTCCCTTTGTAGACCAGGCTGACCTTGAACAGAGAGATCCACCTGCCTCTGCTTCAGAAGCACTGGGATTAAAGGGGTGTGCCACCACCCGGTTTATTTATTTTTAATTTTTATGACCTGCTATCTGTAAGTAATCTGTGGAGCATGACTAGAACGCACGCGGTAACACCTGCAAGCAAGCACCTTCAAGCCAGGACAGATTGAATTATTTTTGCTTCTGAAGAGAATCTGACTGTGATTTTTCTGGAGACTGTTTTCACAGCTACTGGTGAACAAGCAAGGTCAACCTGTGAGTTCTGAATATTGCTTAGTGACAAGCACTTTTCTAACATGCCTAAGGCCCTAGCTCAGTTCCCATCACCAGAAAAAAAACAAACAATATGCATACCTAAATCAAATCTAAAATATAGAAAGGAACTCTGTAACTAAAAAACAGTCTAATTTAAAAAGGCACAAAGGCCAGTTGTGGTGGTGCACGCTGGTAGGATTTGCTGAAGGAGGCAGAGGAAGGAGGATCATGAGTTCGAGGCCAGCCTGAGCTATACATTAAAAAAAAAAGCACAAAGGGCCGGGGATGTAGCGGCACACATCTTTAACCCCAGCATCTGGGAGGCAGAGGCAGGCGGGTCTCTCTGAGTTCAAGGCCAGCCTGGTCTACAGATCAGGTTCCAGGACAGTCAGGACTACACTGGGAAACCCTGTCTTGAAAAATCAGGGAAAAAAAAAAAAGACAAAAAAGGACTTAGTTGGTATTTCTTCAGAGAAGACAGACGTATGACCATCATCCTCAGAGAAATGTACATCAAGACCACCACGTTAGAGCACTTCACATACACTGGGGTGACTGGTACTAAAAGCACAGCAGAAGAAAGGAGAGAGAGAATTGGGAAACATTTGGAGAAATTGGCCAAGTGTTATGGTGGCATGCTGGTAGTCCTAGGTTACGCTGGTACTCAGCGGGTCGGGGCAGAACTGGGAGTTTAAGGTCAGCCTGGTCTGTGTGAGGCTCTGCCTTACAGAACAAAACAAGATGTGGAGAAACTGGAACCCTCACGAACTGCTGATGAATGTCGCAGAGAGGAAGAATAGTTTGTGTGTGTGTGTAAATATGGTATATGTACATGTGTGTGTGTGTGTGTGCGCGCACACTGGTTTTTAAGCATGTGGAGGCTAGGAGAACATGGGACATCCTCTGTCACGCTTTGCCATCTTCCTGGAGAAGGGCTTCTCTCTTGAACCTGGAGCCCACCAGCACGCTGCTGTGATCATTCCGTCTCCAGTTCCCTCTCAATCCCTCAGTACTGGGGTTACATGCTAGGCTTTTTACAGGATCCTGGGATCCAAACTCAGGTCCTCGTGTTTCTGCAGCAAGTACTCTTTACCCACCGAGCCATTTCTAGGCTCTTCGCTTCCTCCCTCCTTCTCCCCTTCCCTCTGTTTCCTCCTTTCATCTGTCCTTCCATCCTTTGTTTCTATATTAGGGACAGAAGACAGGGCCTCATGCACACCAGGCAAGTGCTCTACCTTGGAGCTGCATCCCCAGCCTGGGAGCAGGGATTTTTTTTTTTTTTTTCAGCATCTTTAGGAACAGCTTCCTATCGACAGCCCAGCAGTCCCTCATGGACTGCTCGTGGACACAGGACATACAGACGTCAGTTGTCTTCGTTGTTCCTGCAGCAGAGTATGCAATCCTTGTTCTCTGATTTCAAAGGCTAATTCAGTGTTTCTAAGGAAATCCCTGGCTGTCACCAACAAGTATATCAGCAGTTTTGGCCTCCTGGTGGCGTCTAGTGCTGAGTCACATGGCAGGCCTGGAGGTGGGGGTTCTTAATGGCTTGATTTAGGTTTGCCCTTTGGCAATAAAAGTTCCCAGAGTACCCTTGAATACCAACAACACTGGCAGGTGTTCAGGTCACAAGAAAAGTTTAAATGGGACAGAACTGAATATTTTACACTTCGTTAACAAGCAGCTCTTTCCTCACCTGCCACTCCTTCCTTTGCCTCTGGCCTCAAACACAGGGTGAATTAGAATAAATGTGTCAAAAGGAGCCGGGCAGTGGTGGTGTGCACCTTTAATCCCAGCACTCGGGAGGCAGAGGCAGGTGGGTTTCTGTGAATTTGAGGCCAGCCTGGTCTACAGAGTGAGTGCCAGGACAGGCTCCAAAGCTGTACAGTGTGTTAAGAGGAGTAGAAGTCATCTGCAGGTCCCTTCATTTTCTGGCTTTCGGTCTCTCAGTTCTGCTCCTGGAGACAGAGAGGAGAACACTGTCAGAACTTGCCACCTTGGTTGTGAGGTCAGGCTCAGAGTCTCAGGCACATGGATACATACACACATGGTCACAAGCTTCAAATATGACGCCTGAAACCAGCAATTATCAGATAGTTCTGCCGCCCCAGCTACCTCTCAGTAAATGTCCTCCTAAGATCACTAGACCGCAACGAAGCTCATTATTTTGTATTCAAGCTTAAAAACAAAATAGTAACCAAAAAATCATGAAAACACTACAGGCAGTTTCCAGTTTATAAAATGATTATTTTTCTAAATTTACGTTGGTCTTTTTATTTTTTAAAAAAAAGACTTATTTTTACTTGATGTGTCTGAGTGTTTTGCCTGCATATGTGTATGTGTGCCATGTGTGTGCACTCTGGAGGCACAGCAGCCATTAACTATAGCTTTAGATTTGTTTTTGGGGCGTGTGTGTGTGTCGTGTGCATATGTGTGGATGGGTGTGTATGAGTGCACATGTCCGTGTGTGTGTGAATACGTGTGTGTGTGTGTGTGTCGTGTGCATATCTGTGGATGGGTGTGTATGAGTGCATATGTCCGTGTGTGAATACGTGTGTGTGTGTCGTGTGCATATGTGTGGATGGGTGTGTATGAGTGCATATGTCCGTGTGTGTGTGAATACGTGTGTGTGTGTGTCGTGTGCATATGTATGTGTATGTATGCACCTGTGGGCCCGTGTGTGGATGGGTGTGCTTGCTTGTGAAGACCTGATTTTGGTGTCTGGAAGGAAACTGTCCCCTATTTCATCTTATTTGTTGAGGAAGGGTTTCTCAACAAGCCCAGTGCCTTCTTGACTGCCACCTCCACAGCCGCCTAACTTCCTCATAAAGAAGGAACCGAATCTTTGTCCTGTTACCAGAAAATGTCCCTGGTCCCAGCCCGCTTCTCCCCTTTCACAGTGACTGACTAGTACACTGTGGCTTTGGTCTTTGTGAATCGCTTCTGAGTATATGAATGTCACTGTGGAGATAACAGGCTGAGCCCACACACACAGCCCCCAGAGTCCTGACTACACGATGAGATCATGCCTCCCTTCATTAACAATGAATTATTCTTTGGCTCAAGGGAAAGTTCTTACCAGTAACCTCACTAAGCCAACTCTATAAAACTAAACATCAGGATATTCAGGCGGTGACAACATGGCTGTTGTACTTTCTGTCGTCTGATCTCATTGTTCAGTCAGGACTTGATGAGGTCACATAGCTTAGACCTAATTCTCATTCCTTGTTCTTTCCATCATCTGATATAAACATCAAAAACCTTAAGATAATAATATATGAAATTACATTAAAATGAAATAAGTGATAAGCACAAAAATGTGGATTTCAGAAAAATTACCTCATCTAACTTTAACCAAAAATAAAAGCAGAGGGCTGGAGGGATGGCTCAGCAGTTAAGGGCACTGGCTGCTCTTCCAGAGGTCCTGAGTTCAATTCCCAGCAACCACATGGTGGCTCACAGCCATCTATAGTGAGATCTGGTGCCCTCTTCCAGCCTGCAGGCACACATGGAAGGAATGTTGTATATATAATAAAAGAATAAATAAAAGCAGAATCATACAAATCTAGGTTTTTGTATTTTAGTGTTTGAGACTAAACATTTAGTGTTTAGTGTCTGGAACTCAGCAGACCAGGCTGGCCTCAAACTCAGAAATCTACCTGTCTCTGCCTCCGAAGTGCTTTTCCCACTAGCCGGGTCTTGCCAAGTCACCATATACCAGGCTGGGTTCTCCAGAGCCGATGGCCCAGTTTTCTGGGGACTCCCTGACTTTCCTAGCTTGTTTTGTTGTTGTTTGTTTTGGATTTCAGCCCTAGTGGGTCTGGAACTTTCTGGGATCCTCCGACCTCTGACTGGGTGCTGGGATCCTAAGTCCTGGGCTCACAGGCATGCATTTCTAGTGGTCTGACCCACAATTTGCTCAAACAGGATAGGAGACAATATTAAATCACCTGAGCATTGTGACCTATAGGTATTCATGACTTTCCAGTTTCTTTCTTTTTAAGAAAATAATTATTAGCCGGGCGGTGGTAGCCCAAGCCATTAATCCCAGCACTCAGGAGGCAGAGGCAGGCAGGTCTTTGAGTTCGAGGCCAGCCTGTCTACAGAGTGAGTTTCAGGACAGCCAGGGCTACACAGAGTATCCCTGTCTTGGAAACAAGAACAAAAGATTTGTTTTTTATTATCTTTTAATTACATGTAAGACGTATGAGTGTGTCTGTGTGGGTTTGTGTGGTGCCAGGGGAGGCAAAGGTGGCAGGGACAGGTGACTGTCAGCAACCCGATGTGGGTACTGAGAAGAGGTCACAGGTCCCTTGCAAGAGCAATGTGAGCTCTTAACCACTGAGCTGTCTCTCCAGCCCTCCAGTTTATGTTCTTATTAAGGAAAGTACTTTCAAGAACATTCTTGCCAGGTGGTGGTGGCGCACGCCTTTAATCCCAGCACTCGGGAGGCAGAGGTAGGCGGATCTCTGGGAGTTCGAGGCCAGCCTCTCTACAAGTCTACAAGAGCTAGTTCCGGGACAGGCTCCAAAGCTACAGAGAAACCCTGTCTCGAAAAACCAAAAAAAAAAAAAAAAAAAAAAAAAAAGAACATTCTTGGTGAACACAGGAACGTTTGAAAAGCAACAAGGAACACACACAAAATAGCAGGTAATTGACATTTTAATGCATCTATGCATTGATATAACATTAAAAAAGAATCGGTTCTACAGCATCAGTCTTAAAAGATTAACATTTATAATACAGTAAAATAAAGTTTCATAAAGTTAAATGTCCTTAACATTTAATTTTAATGTTAAGCTAGATATTTTTAAATGTACAAAATGAGAATATCTCACATTTAAAAACAAAACAAAACAACAGGGTCTTGCTTTGTAGCCCAAGCTGGCTTTGATCTTGGCATCCTTCTGCCTCAGCTGCTGAGTGCTAGGACAGTGTGCACACACCACCACATTTTATCGTCTTATTTATTTACTTATTTGAATATGCAGATGTAGTGCCCGTCACTCAGAAAGACAAGTTAGGTCATTTAGAAGCTGGAACTTTCTGGGCCTCTGCCTGTTCCATGTGTTACTCTGGTTTCTCCACTATGTAAAATCCTTTGGACATTAATCAATTATCTGAATGGAAGCTATATGAGGCAGAAACCATAATTCTATCAGGGAAATAATTGGCTAGATCCTGCTGAATAGAAAGAAACCAGAAGTAGTGCTTTTCTTCTCCATCTTAATTTTTTTTAAATTTATTTTCATTTTTCAAGATAGGACTTCACACAGTCCAGGCTGGCTTTGAACTCACTGCACAAAGGTTGACTTTGAACTCCTTATCTTCCTGCCTCCCAGGCATTAAACAGAATGCACTGTTTACTCAGTGCTGGGACTGAACCTTCACACAGGCTGGGCAGCTGCTCTATCAACCCAGCATCTTAAACTGGAATCAGAGGAATATACCGTCTCTCCAGTCTCAGGAAAGGCTCTAGGTGGGTTTGAAATGTTTGAGTAAGATCACAGCGTTTAACCTCGGATGTTAAACCTAGCAGAAGCTGACCTGGAAGAGCCAGATTCTCACCCATGAGACCAGCATATAAAGGCAGTGAAGAAACGGTTGACTATAAGAACAGCTTCAAACGGGCTAAGAATATCCTTGCGTATCCCAGTTCATTACTTTATCATACTCTTGAATTCTTTGCTTTATGTGAGAAAGTTTGTTCTTGAGGTAATCACAACGCTCCTTCTTTTCCAGAAATGAAGGGTCCTACGAAAGAAACAGTTATTAATTCAGCTTTCCTCGGTGACTGACAGACACGTCCTCACACAGAAAGCAGCGGAGTTAGCGGCAGATACGATCTGATAATTAGAACACTCATGCTCTCTGTCAACACAAGACAGCCTGTGCTTTAGGGTCACAGAAAAACTGAGGGGAACTGGAGAGTAGAAAGGAACCTTTAGTAGTCAATATATGTGAAGAACAAGTGTGGGAAATAATGAATAAAGGTCCCTCCCGGATTTTTTCCCAACTCCGCCCTTTGCAGCATCTCACAAGTCAATAGAGACTTCATGAGAGACATTTCATAATTGAGCTTAAGAGAAACTGGAGGGCTGTCAGTTATCACCAACGCACCGAGACAAGGACACAGACACAGACAACTGATCCTACTCACATTCTTTTTCTTCCTAAACTCTTCATGGATTCTTGAAATTCTCTCGTGTTCCTAAAAATAATATATTTTTATCTTATTTTAGTTAAAACACGCAATTACTCAATTCATGTCTCAAAGCACACTGGGAATTAGAACAAAAAAACTATTTTTTGCCAAGCGCGGTGTCACATGCCTGCAATGTTGGCACTTGGGGGCAGACGTCGGACACCACTCTGAATTCAAAGTCAGTCTGGGCTACAGAGGGGGACCCTGCCTCAAAAACACACCTTCCTGTTCTTTGCACAAAGCTAGAATGAAAATAGCTACACAAAAATATAATTCATTGATAAACATTTGCAACTAACTCCCTGCCAGGCACTGCTCTCCGCCAAGTGTTACAAGCAGCCCTGTGACGCTGGGTGAACCGTCTGTCCTAAAATTCTTCTCCCACCACAAACAATATCCATAACCTTCAAATGCTTGTCAGGAGGTTCACTTATTCGCAATGATCCTGATTGAGAGATAAATAAAAACCACCACACTGGTCCTTTCCCTCATCTTCATCCTCCCCGGACAGCTCTCCTTGTGAGTCAGGTGTGTTCGAGGAAGAGGCCGGGACTGTTCGACTCCTGAGAAGAGCTAGTAGAAGGTCCCTTCTAATTTTATTATACATTTTATACTAAACATAAATATAATACTATATAATTAAATATAAGTGTTATATATAAATATAATTTATATATTATATAAGTGAGACAGAGGACTACAGAAATATTTCCATTTCTCCATGAATGCCTTGTTTTTCCTACATGACTTCTTTTTCTACACAACTTCTTTTGAGACAAGATCTCACAACATTCCCCAGGCCTAGAACTCCTGGGTTCAGGAGCTTCTCTTGCTCAGTTCCCAAGCAGCCGGGCCTGCAGACTTGGCCAACACCTTCTGAAGACCTCTAAACTTGGTTACTCTTTTGGGCCCGTTGGCCTTGAGTATTTTCCAAATGGTAGTGCCTGACCCACTAGTTCAGTGTTTGCTGGATTCTCCTGCTTACAGGACACAGACAGGGTCTCATTGTGCAGTCCTCATGGGCCTGGAACTCTCTGTAGATCAGGCTGACTTGAATTCACAGAGATCTGCCTGCCTCTGTCTCTTGAGTGCTGAGATTAAAGGTGTGCGCCACCCATGCCTGACCATCCTTTATCTTTTTTTTTGGGGGGGGGGTTCAAGACAGCTTTTCTCTGTATAGTCCTGGTTATCCTGGAACTAGTTCTGTAGTCCTAGTAGCGGATCTCTGTGAGTTCAAGGCCAGCCTGGTCTACAAGAGCTAGTTCCAGGACAGGAACCAAAGCTACAGAGAAACCCTGTCTCAGAAAACAAAACAAAATAACAAGAAAAAAGAAAAAGAAGGCAGCAATGGTAAAAGACATTAAGTTATAAAATTTGTTCAGCTCTCTTTCTCCCTTTTCTTGGTAGCGCTGGGATCAAACCTAATGCTCTGCACACAGTGCTCTACTGACAGGAATGGAACCGCTGCCTAGTGACCTTGAGGTCTCAAACACTTTGACAGACAGCAGACAGGCCTTTGGGACTCCCAACCCGTGGCAGTCTCCTCTCAGCAGGGGTGGCCACTGACCTGGGGGTTCTCAGCATGACGTGGCAGTCTGCTCATCACCGCATCCAGCTCCTCGAACTTCCTCAGGATGGCCTGCACTTCCGCAGACAGCTCTTTATACTCTGAGAACTGGTCTTGGAACACAGCTTTGTAACGTTCTCGATCGTCATCCGTCCGAATCACAGGATATTTTCTGAGGAAAATCACAAATCTGGGTGACAACTTTACCCTGCAGGAGGTCTGTGGTGGCACTTCCCTAGCAGGCTCAAGACCCTGGGTTCTATCCACAGAGTGGGAAACGCAAGCTGAATAGCTGAAACAGGTCAGCTCACTCAGTGCCCAGGCCTGGCGGACCTTTCTTATTTTCCAACCTTACCCTGGATAACAAACGACCGCTCACATAAATGACTTTAAACACAGTGCTGGCTTGATGACAAACTAGAAGATGCTAGAAAAACCGAGATGGACTCACGCCACATAGTCAGGCATCACGATGGGCTTGGGAATGTAGCCCGGAGGGATGTGCCCGCTTTGAAGCTCAGGGGTCGTTTTCACTGTTCTCGACTCTTTGAAATTAACTTCTTGGTCTCTCTGCCCGTCACTGGTGGCCACTTCGCACTGCAGGGAAAGAGATAAAGAATCGACTGTACGAGGGAACAGGGAAAGAGTCCACCCAAGTTACTGGGAGAGAACGAAGCGGGAGTAGGAAGACGAAACGTGAAAAAAACAGCTGTTGAGAGTTCCGTGTCTTAAACACACAGCGATGGTCTCAACGCAACAGCTGAACAGAGTCACGTCTGGAAACAGCAGCGGGGAGAGGCCGGCACCTCCTGCTCCTAATCAGCATATTACAAAGCAGTAAAAATATTACATGTTCAGGAAAGAAGAAAAATGGCTGCGAAGGACTGGGAGAGGTTTCTAACAAAGCCAGCAGACGGGACACTTGAGTGGAAGATGCAGAGGAATCTTCTAGAACATGCAGTCAAAGGTAGCTCAGCATTTAACAGCACTGCACCCAGAACACCCAAGGCTGGTAGATGCAAGAAGGGTCTGATGCATAAGGCTAAGTGAACCCTCCAAGGTCACACAGAAACTAATTGGACGTCAGGAGCCATTTCCCCAAAAAGTATTGCAGAGACCATTGTCCTGGGGATGTTTGCACAGAGCCCCACACCCCAACTGTATTGAGAACTGTTTGTTGGCAGAGCCCACCCCACATCCAGCTATCTTGAGAGCTGTCTGTTAGCAGAACCTGCCCCACATTCCAACTATCTAGAGAACTGTTTGTGGTTGGAATCACAAAAGGAACGATTCCACTTGCATACAGAACACTAGGTGTGTCGACTCGTGACCTCATGACTGACTCATGACCAAGTGTCGACTTGTGACCATTGCTGCAAGATCCCTTCCTGCCCTTGCCATGCCCCTGCCCCCCATCCCAACCCAAATTCCTCATCCAGGGGCTATAGAAGCCACAACCATTATGCTAATGGTTGTGACAACAGATCTTGCTCAGCCTCGTTCCTCTTTCCAGCCCACATCTTTTCAGAAAGCGCCTCTTCGGGACCCTGGAATAACTGACCTGCCAGGCGGGTTACAACCCTAGACTAACTGACCTGCTGGTGGGTTACAATCAGAAAAACCCCAACTAAATTCTGCAAGTGTTTGATTTTTGTGATGCTAGAGACTGACCCCAGAGGTTTTGAGCATGCCAGGCTAGCTGTGTTCCACCACTGTACCCTAACCCAAGATTCCCTGACACTTTATATGAAAAAGATGCAGAAAACCTATTTGATTAAATGTATATTGTTCACATGCTAAAGCGCCCTGAAGTTCCAGGCGCATACTGGAAACAAGCCTGACGAATAAGGCAAGCAGTGCCAGCCACAGCTGCAGGAAAACGAGGCCCCGATGCAGAAACTCCTTTCTTCTCTACATAATACAAACAAAACAAAAACCAACAAAAGAGTGCAAACACGCAATGAAGAATTCTGAAGCCTTGCCCTCCATTGCTTTGGCAGCTTTGAAAAGTCCTTTGTCTTCACACCTCCCTGTTTCCGGACTGGTTTTAAGGTTTGGTTTAACTTTAGCTCACTGTCAAAGCCACAAGCTCTTACCTCACCGAATGGCACAGGCCTGAGCTAGTGGAGGCTGTTAACCAGCCCAAGAAAAGGAACCAGGAAAGGAGAAGCTCCAAGCCCACAAGCCTGATGGGAGAAGATCACACCAAAAGCCTCAGGGACTCCAGAGAAACAAGAGGGGACAGAATAAGGAACAGAAGCAAGGTGTCTTACTGATGTCGTCTGCATGACAATGGCCCCATGGCTCATCTGTTTGAATACCTGATCCCCAGTTGGTGGAACTGCTTGGAAAGAAATTACTGGAGGAGGTGTGTCACTGGGGTGGGCTTTGAGGCTTCAAACATCCACGCCATTTTCAGTGTGTGTGTCTGTCTCTGCCTCCCGAGTGGATCTCTGTGAGTTCGAGGCCAACCTGGTCTACAGAGCAAGTTTCAGGACAGGCTCCAAAGCTACAGAGAAAGCCTGTTTAGGAAATCTTTCCAAAAGCAATCTACAGATTCAACGCAATGCCCATCAAAATCCCAAAAAAATTTCTTCAAATACCTCAAAAGAACGGTACTCAACTTCATATGGAAAAGCAAAAAACCCCAGGATAGCCAAAACAATCCTGTACAATAAAAGAACTTCTGGAGGCATTACAATCCCTGACTTCAAACTCTACTACAGAGCTACAGTACTGAAAACAGCCTGGTATTGGCATAAGAACAGACAGGAGGACCAATGGAACTGAACAGAAGATGTAGATATTAATCCACACATCTTCAAACACCTGATTTTTAACAAAGAAGCAAAAAATATCAAACGGAAAAAAGAAAGCATATTTAACAAGTGGTGCTGGCTTAACTGGATATCAACATGTAGAAGAATGAAAATAGACCCATATCTATCACCATGCACAAAACTCAAGTCCAAATGGATCAAAGACCTCAACATAAAGCCAGCCACATTGAACCTTATAGAAGAGAAAGTGGGAAGTACACTTGAACGCATTGGCATAGGAGACCACTTCCTAAATATAACCCCAGCAGCACAGACACTGAGAGAAACAATTAATAAATGGGACCTCCTGAAACTGAAAATCTTCTGTAAAGCAAAGGACACGGTCAACAGGACAAAATGACAGCCTACAGAATGGGAAAAGATCTTCACTAACTCCACATCAGACAGAGGTCTGATCTCCAAAATATACAAAGAACTCAAGAAATTAGACACCAAAAGAACACATAATCCAATAAAAAAAAAATGGAGTACAGACCTAAACAGAGAACTCTCAACAGAGGAATCTAAAATGGCTGAAAGAGGGGGCTGGAGAGATGGCTCAGAGGTTAAAAGCACTGATTGCTCTTCCAAAGGTCCTGAGTTCAATTCCCAGCAACTACATGGTGGCTCACAACCATCTATAATGAGATCTGGTGCCCTCTTCTGGCATACAAACATACATGGAAGGAATGTTGTATACATAATAAATAAATAAATCTTTAAAAAAAAATGGCTGAAAGACACTTAAGGAAATGTTCAACATACTTAGTCATCAGAGAAATGCAAATCAAAACAACTCTGAAATTCCATTCTTACACTTGTAAGAATGGCCAAGATCAAAAACATTGATGACAGCTTATGCTGGAGAGGTTGTGGGGAAAAGGGAACACTCCTGCATTGCTGGTGGGAACGCAAGCTGATACAGCCCCTTTGGATGGCAGTGTGGCGATTTCTCAGAAAATTAGGAAACAACCTTCCTCAAGACCCAGTAATACCACTGTTGGGTATATATCTAAAGGATGCTCAATCGTGTCACAAGGACATTCTCAACTATGTTCATAGCAGCTTTGTTTGTCATAGCCAGAACCTGGGAACAACCTAAATGCAGCTCAACCAAAGAACGGATAAAAAAATGTGGTACATTTACACAATGGAGTACTACACAGCAGAAAAAAATAATGACAGTTTGAATTTTGCAGGAAAATGGATGGAGCTAGAAAACATCATTTTGAGTGAGGTAACCTAGACACAGAAAGACAGTTATCACATGTAGTCACTCATAGGTGGTTTTTAAACATAAAGCAAATAAAACCAGCATACAAACCACAATCCCAGAGAACTTAGACAACAACGAGGACACTAAGAGAGACTTGCATAGATCTAATCTACATGGGAAGTAGAAAGTAGAAAAAGACAAGATCTCCTGAGTAAATTGGGAGCATGGGGACCTTGGGGGAGGGTTGAAGGGGGTAGGGGAGAGGCAGGGAGGGAAGCAGAGAAAAATGCAGAGAGAAAAAAAAAACCCAAAACGAGAAACCCTGTCTCAAAAAACCAAAAATAAAATATAATATAATATAAACAATAAGGTTCAGCCTACTCTTCAGCCCAAATGGTGGACAGGAAACATCAAGTTCAGAGAAGATAAGTAATTTTCTCAGGATCAAAGAGCAAGAAGGAAGCTGCCCCAGAGCCCTGATTCAGAGCAGCCTAATTGTAAAGTTCATCAAGGTGTCAGTCACTCTCTTTCCCAAACCGTCCCTCATAGGATCCAGGGGAAGGCAGGTGAAATAAATCACACCCATGGAAATCCAGGTTCTAGAACTTTCTATCTCGAATTGGCTAAGTCCAGCTGATTAATGGGAGTCCCTCTTGAAATACCCCTAAGCTATTTCTGGATTCCATCTCTCGAGAGGTCTTTAAAGGGATGTGTTTTGGCTGGATAGTGATGCAGACCTTTAGGCCCAGCACTTGGGAGGCAGAGGCAGGCGGGAGTTAGAGGCCAGTCTGGTCTACAGAGCAAGTTCCAGGATAGCCAGGGCTATACAGAGAAACCCTGTCTCAGAAGAAAAAAACAAACAACCAACAACAACAACAGAATGGACATTCTACCATGATTCCTAACTATTCCAGGGCCTCTCAGTATCGAGGACCAGGAAAACTGGACACGCTGTCCGGCCCTAGGCAGACTGAAAGAGAAGTCCCAGAACTCTCTGGCAGATCTTAAAAGCCCTGTCCCACCTGTACATTCCATCCAGCGGGGACCCGACTACTGGACACTGAGGGCTGCTTTCCCTTGCATCTTCCTGGCTTTTTAGGTTGACTCTGTTCTGCACTGAAGTCCATTGGTAAATCCCACTGCCTTCAGTGGGAATGACCACAAAGTCCAGACAATTCTACCCAGGACAAGAACACACATCACTGCTATACTGCAGCCCAGTGAGGTGACCCTGTCCATCCTGGCACCGGGAAGTAAGCAATTGCAAAGTGGACGCACCTTTAAATGTCCCCAAAGATGATGGATGGCGGGATGGGCAGATGAATAAATGGAAGGATTTCAGGGATGGGGATTAAACTCAGGGCCTCAAACACACCAGGCAGGTAAGCATTCTACCACTGACCTTTATTCCAAATACTTAGGATATTGTGAATATGCTTCCAAATGTTAGCATTCTGCATAATTTTGATACTAGGTCTTGACATTATCTGTTAACGAGTGCTAGCATTATAAGATAGATTTCCCATGTCAAATGTGTGTGTATATGTGTACACTGCCGTGCCTGAGTTTCTGTCCTGACTTTTCCCTTCAAGGACGGGCTGATGTGCGCCCAAGTTGCTTATGGTGCAGGTGTTTTATCACAGCAATAGAAACTCTAACTGAGACAATGACCTTGAATTTCTGATTCTCCTGCAAACTAGGATTACAGCCCTGGGCCAGGGTGCTCAGTTTGTTCAGTGCTGGGGGGGTGGGGGGGAGAATCCAGGGCTTCATACATGCTAGGCAAGCAGTCTACCAACTGAGCTGTACCCCAGGCTCAGGAAGAATGATTTCCACCGAAGAAAATTAGCCAGGCATAGTTAGTAAACCAAGAGTCCCACAGCACAGGAGGCAGAAGCAGGCGCAGGCAGCATGCATTAAAAGGCCAGCCTGGGCCACACAGCAAGAACTCACAGCAAATAAACACACATACAAGGAAGACCCAGCATACTCATTACAAAAAGTTCGTGTAATAAAATGAAAAGGGAATTGAGGGAGAACTGCCTAATCTGGTCCTTACAGTGTAGAAAAAAGCCAAAAGTCTTCATGCGAGCTTGGCAGCATAGTTTCACGCATGAATGAGTCTATTGTCAACAAATATACACAAGAGATAAATGTTTAGCAAATCTACAGATACGGGATAACTTAATGTTGCTCTTACCATTCTCCTTTTTGATGACAATGACGGGTCATTTATCTGAAACAACAACAACAAAAGAGTTAAAATGATTTCTCAAGAGGCTGAAGAGATAGCCCAACAGTCTGGAGTGCTTACTGCTCTGGCAGAGGCTCACAACTGCCTGTAAATTCAGCATCTGGGGATCCCATGCCCTCTTCTGGCCCCCACATGCAAGTGTACATCACACACATACATACACGCATGCGTAAAACATAGAAGCTAATTTTCTTTTCTTTTCTTTTTTTTTTTTGGTTTTTCGAGACAGGGTTTCTCTGTGGCTTTGGAGCCTGTCCTGGAACTAGCTCTTGTAGACCACGCTGGTCTCGAACTCAAAGAGATCTGCCTGCCTCTGCCTCCCGAGTGCTGGGATTAAAGGCGTGCGCCACCACCGCCCAGCCTAATTTTCTTTTTTTTTAAAGATTTATTTATTTATGTATACAGTGTCCTGCCTGCAGGCCAGAAGAGGACACCAGATCTGATTATAGATAGTTGTGAGCACCATGTGGTTGCTGGGAATTGAACTCAAGACCCCTGGAAAAGCAGTCAGCGCTCTTAACTACTAAGCCATCTCTCCAGCCCTAGAAGCTGATTTCCAAATGTTTCCAAACATGTGCACTTCTAGCCCAATCTCAATGTCTGGAAGCTGACTCTCTTCTTGACGTCTGTTCTCCATACTTGTTCGCCTATGGACCAGTAGGGAACCAGAGGACTTCAGGTGACTGTGTTTCCCTGTAAGCCGGGAGGATTTGGAGATGTGGGAATGGTGGTTACTATTAGGTAGGTTGCTTGAATTACCTAGATTTTATTTATTCCTGGTTACTTTATCTTGGGTGATTAAATTGTTATTTTGTTTTGTTTTGTTTATGAGATATGATCTTGTTATGTAGCCTAGTAGCCTAGGCTAGCCTAGCCTAGAACTCACAACATGATTAGGCTGGCCTTAATCTTGTGGCCGTCTTTTTGCTTCTGCCCCAAGTGCTGGGATTACAGATGTGACTTACCATGTCCAGCACTTTGGATAATTAAAAAGTTGATACAGTCACTTTATAAAATTAATAGAAGAAAAACCGCCAAAGGCTGTAATATCACCTTCAATAATTCAAGCTTAATCAAATATTGTAAAAAAAAATCTTACATAAAGTTTTTAAGATGAACACACTAGCTTATGCCTGAAATTCTAACTCTCTGGGAGGCAGAGGCAGGAGGATCTCTGTGAGTTCGAGGCCAGCCTGGTTTACAAGAGCTAGTTCAAGGACAGGTTCCAAAGCTACAGAGAAACCCTGTCTCAAAAAACCAAAAAAAAAAAAAAAAAAAGACAGGGTTTTTCTGTAACCCTACTGTCCTGGAACTCATTCTAAAGATCAAGCTAGCCTAAACTCAGAGATCAACCTGCCTCTGCCTCCCAAGTGCTGGGAAAAGGCGTGTGCCACCACCACAAAATACATTTTTATTGAAGGAAAAACATTATGCTAATAATAATTATATTAATGTAGTAGACTTATGAAATTTAAATAATTAAAAATGAATATTAAGCTAGCAAAAACTTATGAGGAGGAGTCTAAGTCTTCCTGTTTTGAATCCCACACATTACAATTAAAAGTTCTTAGGAGGGGGGCACAGGCGCACCCCTGTAACACCAGCACCTCAGAGGCTGAGCAAGGTGTTGATACACAGTGTCAGGCCAGCCATAGCTGTATAGTAAAATCCTGTTCCAAAACCAAAAGAAAACTCTTAAAATTCCTCAATTTATACATAGAGACTTAAACTTGAGCAACACCAGGCCAGGCACTGGTGACACAAACCTTAACCCCAGTACTAGGAAGGCAGAGGCAGGCAGAGCTCTCTGAGTTTGGGCCAGCCTGGTCTACAGAGCGAGTTCCAGGGCAGTCAGAAGCGCTAAACAGAGAAATCCTGTCTTACAACAACAGCAACAACAACAAATAAATAAATAAATGGAAGAAAAGGAAAAAAAGAAAAAAATACTCATGAAGGGCTGAGTCACCTTCCTTCCTTCCTTCCTTCCTTGGGGGGGGGGCGGGGGTGGAGTTTCAAGATAGGGTTTCTCTGAGGCTTTGGAGCCTGTACTGGAACTAGCTCTTTTAGACCAGGTTGGCCTCGAACTCACAGAGATCCACCTGCCTCTGCCTCCCAAGTGTGCCAACCCCCTCACCAGCTGAGGAACATTTTTCGAAGTAACTGTAACAATAGAAGTACTTTCACAGATTCACACTAGACCATTCAAAGTTTCTTGATTACCATATAAGTGTTATAAAAATCATTTGCAGGGCGTGGTGGAGCACACCTTTGATTCCAGCAGAGGCGGAGACAGGCCGATCTCTGTGAAGTCCTGGTCTATATAATGAGTTCCAGGCCAGCTGGGACCACACAGTGAGACCACGTCTCAAATAAACAAACATGTATCACATTCATAAAATGTGCTCTTAAAGGGACGGGGGTTTAATCTTTATTTTTACATGTGCAATTATATAGAATCTAGGAAGCCTTGGGGAAAGCAGGAACGGAAATGCTTACTTAAGGTCAACTTAATTAGGGACAAATTTAAGGCAAACTAATTTTCAGAGGAATAGGAGATTCCACGGCACCTACTGGAAAGTGTAAAACATCAACATATCTCAGGGCAGACCGGAAGTAGCACAGCAAACCTAATGCTTGCTACTGTCAAACTCAAATACTTTCAAATGAGACTTTTTACATGATCTTATCCATTACATAGCACCATCACTTTTTCCTTTATATTAATCTCATTACTTATTATTTTTATTGTTATTTTTAATAAGTAAAATCCAAGAGAGAAAAATAAATGTGGTACTTTCTTATTTTGGAATACAGACCTTTCCAAAATAATGATGAACCATCACAAGCCAGTAGGTGACCTCTATGTTTACCACAACTTAGTTATTCAATGTTTGTGTTTAAGGCAAACAAAGTCACCGTATGCTTTTCTGTTTTTCCTTTGTGAGACAGGGGGTTGAAAAGGAGCTCAGGCAAGCCTCAAACTACGTGGCCCAGGCTAGACTTGAATTCAGAATTGTCCTGTTTTAACTTCCCAACAGCAGGGGTTAAGGTTAAGCCACCGTTCGCCTTAGCCATACCCTCGTGTGCGTGCATGCATGCGTGCGTGCGTGCATGCATGCGTGCATGCGTGTGTGTGTGTGTGCGCGCGCGTGCAATAACTGTGGGTTATCCCAGTCAAAGCAAGACTCTTAAAATCCAGCTCAATTAAATCCAGATCCAGATCCAGAAAGACCTTGACAAGGATGCTGTGATTTTGGCAGCAACAGAAAAACAAAGCAAAGTAGAACAAAGGTCTTGAGAAAGTCACCTACCTCCTGCTGCTCCATGAATTCCCGGTGCCTCCGGGCTGCCTCGTGCCTCCAGAGCTTTAGACAGACCAGGGCGCTGAGGAGGTACACTATCATGGTGACAAACAGGAAGATCATTGCTGCGATCTGACCTCCTTCTACCCGGCAGAACACTGCATTCATCGGCGTGTTAAATAATGGATAATAGCACAGGCCGCCTCGGTTGGTGTCATTCACATAGACGACGGCTGCGGCCATGTACAGGATAAACAAGGCGACGTTCACGCCAAACTCCGTCAGGGGCCACCAGTTAGAGTCCAAAAGAATGGTGCGGTAGTACATGGACATGCCCAGCACCAGAATAATAATAGTGGCGATCCAAGCCAACCCAGCCACCACGAGTACGAAAGGGGTCTTGGGGCCACTGTAGTAATAACCCCCATAGGTGCCGCCCAGACCCGCTGTGCCATAGGGCTGTGTATACCCAAACAAGTTGTACCACTCGTTGTCCTTGTGGATGTAAGCCGTGACACAGGCGAAGACGCCAGCCCCCAGAAGCAGTTCGGCCACACCCAGAATTCTCAGCAGGCCTGCCCACGACTTCATGTAGGCATATCGCAGATTGTACTCCTCCACCTTCTCGCTGTAGGTCCGGGCCGTCTGTGTGCGCCGGTCTAGGGATGCGTAGGGGTCCTGGGGAAACATGGCATCTGCCCCGCGCTGGGAGCTGAAGGCACCTTCCGACCCTCCAGAAGGATCTTTGTAAGAACTGGGTGGGAAGTGGTTCGGTCTCCCTGGAGAGGCCGGAGGTGAGCACTCCACACCATCCGAGATGTATCTGATATCAGACACCGGCTTATCCCATTCTGGATCCTTTTTCTTTCCTCTGAAGAAGTTCTTCCAGGAGTCGGGGACAAAGCGCCTTACCGGCTTGAGGTCTGGTGCTACGGCTGGTTCCTCTGTGTCACTTGAGGAGAAGCTCGGGCCGAATGGTGGCTGTAATGGGAGAGGGGGAGGCGGCAAAGGATCTGCGCTCAGAGCCAGCTCACTGCTCTGAAGGGACTGGAGGGTTCTTATGGTACCATCTGGACCAGGAATGTCCCCTGGAACCTCACTGTAGCCCCTGTCCCGAATCCTGGACCTTCCATCACTTGACGACATTTGGGGTTTTCACACCTGTGGACAAGATTAAAGTTAGAATGTCTAGTTATTTAATCCTCCATAAATAAAATCCAATTATTTTATAAGTCACTTAGTTACAAAAATGATTCAGGTGGCAGACATAATTATATCCAAGTATTATTGTATATAAAATGATAAACACATTTTAAACATATGTAACAATTAGATTATCCAGAAATATATTTAAGTATTCTATGCAATTGCATTTTTTTTTCCTAGACAGGGTTTCTCTGTGGTTTTGGAGCCTGTCCTGGAACTAGCTCTGTAGACCAGGCTGGTCTCGAACTCACAGAGATCCGCCTGCCTCTGCCTCCCAACTGCTGGGATTAAAGGTTTGCGCCACTACCGCATAGCACACCATTGCATTTTGGTGCAACAAAGATTTTAAATATTAGTTTTGAATTTTATATAGTAAAGCATTTAAGTCTAATTTGTGTATGAACCCTATGGACAAAATATAAAAACAAAACAAAAACTTGAGCAATAGAAAATACTAACATATTCCCAAGTATAATCTTGTCTTTAGACATCTAAATCAAATATTTAAGTCAGAGTATGCCAGGCAGTGGTGGCGCACACCTTTAGTCTCAGTACTTGGGAGTCAGAGGCAGGTGGATCTCTGTGAGCTCGAGGACAGTCTGGTCTACAAAGAGAATTCCAGAACAGCCAGGGCTGTAGCACAGAGAAATCCTGTCTCAAAAAACAAAACAACAACAAGAAGAGTCTGAGTGTACCACAGTCTGACGGCTCAGCAAATACTCCTCATTTTCATGAGCGCACATTTGCCTCGGGAGGAACAAGGAGCCGTTAAAGGGGTCTTAAAACACAGCAAGTGTGTGGCCTTTCCCTTTCTAACCAAAAGAGTTAGCTGAGGGGCTGGAGAGATGGCTCAGAGGTTAAGAGCACTGGCTGCTCTTCCAGAGGTCCTGAGTTCAATTCCCAGCAACCACATGGTGGCTCACAACCATCTGTAATGAGATCTGATGCCCTCTTCTGGCCTCTGGGGGACTGACATCCATGCAAGCAGAACACCCATACACACAAAACAGCAAACCAGTGAAAAGGTTAGCTGAGGGGTTTGCTCTCCCTCCCACAACAGTTACAGCTGGCACTTGACTTTAGAAACTGAGTTCTCAGAGGCAAAGACGCTGAGATCCGTGGTGGCCCAGAAATGTAAAACAACAGCAGCCCTAACTATAAATATAACTGTTCCCACAGCAGCTGAAGGCAATCTGCTGTTGCCATGGACAACTAAAGCATGGAACTTAATATACCTGAAAAAATTATTGAAAGCACTTTGACTGAGTCTGTTGCCTTCTTTGATGAAAGCAATAACCTAAATATGTATAGAATAAAAAAATCCACTTACTGATGATGAACTACCAGGTTTGAGGCACACTGAATTTCTCCCTTTTTCCCATTTACGCTTTTTTATTGGCATTTATTCAACTAGACATGTGATACTAAACTCGAAATTATGTCAAAATAAAAAAACGTACTCTCACCTTTAAGGTGTTGGACATTTGGAAATCCTAAGGCATTATTTTATCTGGTAAAATGGAGGAGACCCATTAGTCAACAAAGACTGAAAACCTTGATAAATCAGGCACATTAAGGCTGTATTTAACTTTCCCACTTTTGTGGAACTAAAATCCCACTGTGAGCAGCAGGTGATAAGTGAAATGCATAAAACACTAAGGATCAAAGTTGGGGTTTTTTCCCAGTTTGGTTTGGTGTTTTTGAGCAGGGTTTGGAGCTGTCCTGGAACTCGCTCTGTAGACTAAGCTGGCCTTGAACTCACAGAGATCCTCGCATCTCTGCCTCCTGAGTGCTGGGATTAGGTGTGCAGGATCAACGTTTTAAAAGGGGAGTAGGGAGCGCACTGCAGGCAGCAGGATTTCATTTTAGCACAGCCATGGAGAAAGTGACAGTATAAAGGTGAAGGGGAAACCAAGCAGACGCCTGGAAGGAGCGCTCCAGGCAAAGGAGACAGCTACAGTGAAAGTCCCACCCGGGCGGTGGTGGCGCACGCCTGTAATCCCAGCACTTGGGAGGCAGAGACAGGCGGATCTCTGTGAGTTCGAGGCCAGCCTGGTCTACCAAGGGAGTTCCAGGACAGGCTCCAAAGCTACAGAGAAACCCTGTCTCGAAAAACCAAAAAAAAAAAAAAAAAAAGAAAGTCCCAAACGCCCTTAGGGATTGCCCAAGATGCTAGGGAAATGCCACATCAGAGAGCTCAGCAAGGCAGAGGCAGAGGAAACTGACCGATTCGCCAGAGACCTTAAATCCACTGGCTATTAAGGGGTGATGAGCCAGAGGATTCGAAGTTGAGGAGTGGTGTGATCCGGCTTGTTTTAGTAGGATCTCTGTGGATGTTTAGAGTACCATCGAGAGGGGAAGGCTAAGATAAGGATGCTGCTAATATCCAAAGCATCCCGGTGCTAGCCACAGACACAGTGAGGCCTTGCATTCTAGACATAGGGGACGTAAAATATGTAGTTACAGAAAACTTTAAACATAGACCAATCCTATTTATATTTCACTTCTCCTTCCCTGTCCTATTCCTCCTCTGCCAGAAGAGATTACATAGAAGTAGTGCCAGAGGGTCTGGAGAAATGGCTCAGTGGTTAAAAACAATGGCTGCTCTTCCAGAGGACCTGGGTTCAATTCCCAGCACTTACAAGGAGGTTTACGATCAATTGTGACTCCAGTTCCACCAGATCTAACATGATCTTCAGCCTCCAAGGCCACTGAACACATATGGCGCAGGCATATATGCAGACAAAACACTCACCCACATAAAATTCACCCGATAGATGGAATAGATGGAGCACAGCAGGAGGAGTCCCAGAAGGGATTTCAGGGTCCTCCAATGAGGGACTCCTAGACTGGGGTATTGATATTGATAACCGAGCAAGGTGTGCAAACCAAACCAAAAGCTCTCTGAATGACAGCTGTCTTAGTTGAGGTTTCTTTTTTTTTTTCTTTTAAAATGTGTGTTTCTTATTTTGAGGATTCTGTTCAGTTTCTTAGGCATATTTTGATAAAGTTGCTTTCTTTTCTTTTTAAAGAATATTTATTTTATGTGTATGAGTATACTATCTGCATGTATGCCTGCAGGCCAGAAAAGGGCATCGGGTCCCACTATAGATGTTTATGAGCCACCATGTAGGTGCTGGGAATTGAACTCAGAATCTCCGGAGGAGCAGAGCCATGTCTCCAGCCCTTAGTTGGGGTTTCTATTGCTGTGATAAACACCATGACCATAACCGGGGGAGGAAAGGGTTTATTACAGGTCGCAGCACTCAGATCACACTCCATTGCCGAGGGAAGTCAGGACAGGAACTCGGAAGCCACGGAGAAGTACTGGTTACTGACTTTCTCCTCTTGGCTTGCTTAGTTTGCTTTCTTATAGTGTCCAGGACTACCCGGCCCGGGATGACACTACCCATAGTGAGCTGGGCCCTCCAACATCAATCATTGACCGAGAAAATGCACCAGAGGCTTGCCCACAGGCCAACCTATCAGGGACAGTTTCTTAACTGAGATTCCCTCTTCTCAGGGGCTCTAACCTATGTCAGGCTGACATGAAACCAGCCAGCACAACAGCACTTACCCTTGTCTTTCTCTCTCTGTTGTCCTAAGTTTCTATTCAACACATGCTTGAGAATGTAGAAGCAAAGCCCACTGGTGGCACACACTTTTAATCCCAGCACTTTGGAGATAGAAGCAGAAGGACCTCTGTGAGTTCGAGGCCAGCCTGTCTACAAAGCGAGTTTCAGGACAGCCAGCACTGTTAACCACAGAGGAAGCCTATCTCAAAAGAAAAAAAAAATCAAAACAAAACAAAAGAATGTAGAAGCAAACAACAAACTGAACAAGGTTTGAAGTATCTAGGGTACAGAGGGTTTACAGGGCATCCTGCTGGTTACTTTAACTCACTGTTAAAAGTGTGACTCACTGTAACGGGTTCAGCTCATCTTCACCTGTGGAAAACGTCTCTTTGAAATAATACATCACTTTATCATTTAAATAAACAACAACAAATTTAAATGTGTCGAAAGGAATGGTCAGTGGTATTTTACCACATCTTAAACATATAGAAACTTCTGACGTCTTACGGGTTGCTCCAGAGTCCCCTAGGCTCCATCCAGGTCGTTGAGATCGCAGGTCTTTGTTTGGTTGGGGCCAGGGACTTAGGAATGCCACAGCCCTGGCCAGAAAAATGGTTCCCTGCACGTCACAGGAATCAAGCCTGATTACCTTTACACACGCACAACCGCCCCTTACAGTTTTGCCGCCTCCAGAAGGTGGACTGCCTCGGGATTTGGGGTGGGGAGCAGAGAGCCGCAGCCGCCGCTGACAATCACCAGCGTTCTTGCGGGGCTCTCCCATGCAGCCTCCGGGTTCGACTGCTGTACCCACCGGTGCGCCTCCCGACTTCGCCTTCTTCTCTGGAAAATCCACTCTGGCTTCCGCCCCAAGGTGGCCGTTGTCCCGGTCAGGACAGCCGGGAAAGTGGCGAGGGCGGTGCCGCCCGGCGCCCGGAAGGAGGCGGTCCAGCCGGCCGCACCTGTCGCTGCAGGGAAAGCCTCCCGCCGCCCCCAGCCGGCTCGCCCACGTGCTCGGGCTTCAGCCTGGCTGCGGGGGTTAAAGCCCCTTACCCCACGGGCGCAGCGTCCCATCGCGGACTCACTCACCTGGCCGGAAGAACGGCCTCCTGCGCCTCCCACCGCGGGCACCGAAACTGGGATCGGGATCCTAAGGCGTGGTCGAGCCACAGCGCCCCGCCCACTCGCCCGTCCGTTCAGATCCCTCCTGCCGGCCTCACCCGCGCAGGTTCCCTACCCAGCCCTTGGCCAGCCCAGATCCTGCCAGGAAACTAGTACAGTGTAAGGCGCTACCTGCCCCGTCCATCTTTAGAACATTTGTTCTACTTACGCCTGGACCGAAGGAGACAATGCGTGGTAGGCAATGTTAAAAGATAAGAAAAACACGATGAAAGCCAACATTTTAATTTTTATATAAATTATGTAAATATTTTCCAGAAATATCTAAAATATTTCACTGTACAACATACCAAACGGTATCTGAGAAGCTACTTGCAAACTGTAAATAAGGCACAAAGTTTATTTATACTCATAAATTGTTTTACAAATCAATTTACAACACCCCATAAAGTCTATATTCTGGATTACTCCTTCACATTTTCTGATATTTAAGCAGGACACTGAGAGCCATACTTCACACTGTGACCGCTCCTCCCTAAAGCTTTCACAAGACTAAATAAATACTAAAGACTTCATACTTGAGCCCTGCTTTACTTCAGGATGACTCAAGTCAGCGGCTTGGAAGGAACTCTATGACAACTGAGCAATCAGCAAACGGCTTGCCATGCACCAGAAGTGTGTTAATGCTGTTCAAGTACCAACTTCTGTAGTCCTGAATGACTGAAAACAAGTCTCTCCAGTAGCACTTTGATTGACAGGTGTTCTCTAAGTCCCATCACTGTCATAGTCCTCTATTATGATGTCCTCCTCCTCCTCCTCTTCCTCCATGTCCACTCTGGAGGAGAAGGGCTGCGGCTGGCTAGCAGGCAGGTCACTCCCGCTGTTCTGACTCAGGGGGAGAGACCAGGGCTCTGGGTCAGCAGTCTGCGAGGCTTCACCCTGAGTGTCCTGTGCAGGCCGCCCTCCAGTACGGGGGAACTCATCCTCGCTGTCGGGCTCTATGAGCTCTCGCTCGGTCAGGGCTTCCATTTTCAACCTGTGGGATTCACAGGGCAGACGTCAGTAGTTACCAAACAGGAGATTCCTTTCAATTGTAACCTAAGAGGTCTTTCCACTTACACAAAATGCAAGGTGAATGAGAAACTGTGAATAAACCCTACTGCCTACAAGAGGGTTAATGTCTCCAGTAGAGTTCCTATGCACTAATGTTTATATATACATTAAAAATGAGCAGAAAACAGAAATCTCAGGAAACATGAATAGGACTACATTTTATATTATTTAATTTATAATTTTAAAAATAGAAACTAAAGCTGGGCATGGTGCTCACTCCTTTAATCTGAGAACTCAGGGGAAAAAGGCAGACACTGGATCTCTGAGTTCCAGGCCAGCCAAAACCATATAAAGAAACCCTGTTAAAAAAAAAAAAAAAAAAAAAAAAAAAAAACACTAAAACTTCAGTCAGGGATGGTGGTACAGCATGTAATACTAGCACTTGGGAGGCTACGACAAGAGAATGAGAAGTCCTGAGTCGAGCCTCAGCTACATAGTGAGATCCTCCTCACCTCAAGACAACAAAGCTGTAAACCTTCTTTATATACATTTTTATTTCCTATAGTTATCTGCTAGAAATTGGAAAAAGATACTTTATTCACTTTTATGTTTATAGGAAGTCAGATGCCGTAGCCACAGTTCCAGGCAGTTATAAGCTGCCCAGCGTGGGTGCTGGGAAACAAACTCAGGTCCAGGAGGAACAGTCTGTACTCTCAACCAGGGAACCCGCATCTCTCCAGCCATAGTTCTTTTTTAGAATAATTAATTAATCAGAGTCAGGATCTATCTTCAAAGCTGTGGCTAGCAGAAATCCACCTGCCAACATTTTCTCCGGTCTGGAATTAAACCTGTCTGCCACCAAGCCTCCAGCTGTTCTGTATTTACTGACTGTATGCAAATACATTCAGTGGACATTTCAGAAAGAATTCTTTAGGAATTAAGATGATCAGCTTACCTTCCAAAGTTTTGTTTCAAAGGAAGTCTTCCAATATCTTGGATAAAAGAAATCTGAGCTGAAAAAAAAAAAACATTTAAATAAAGTTTTAAACACCATCATTCAAAAATTACTTTTGCTAACTGCTGGCACATATCTTTAATGCCAGCACTCAGGAGGCAGAGACAGGTGGATCTCTGTGAATTTGAGGCCAGCCTGGTCTACAGAGCTAGATCCAGGACAGTCTGGGCTACACAGAGAAACCTCTTTTGAAAAACAAAAAAAACAAAAACAAAAAAAATGGTTTAGCTATTCTATAAGGTATACATACACACATAAAAATGTCACATATACCATAAATATATACAGTTTAAATTTGTCAATTAAAAATAATTTTTTGGCCAGATTGCGGTGGTACACGCCTTTAATTTCAGCACTTGGGAGACAGATGCAGACAGCTCTCCGTGAGTTCAAGGCCAGATCTACAGAGAGTTCCATGACAGCCTGGGTTACACAGTGAAACCCTGTCTTGGACAGTGGATAGTAGCTGAGGAACAACACCTGAGGTTGTCTTCTGACTTCTATGTGCACATGCACACACCGACACATACATAAAAAGTACATATGCGTATAAAGATCACACAAGAAAATAAATCTAGAAAAATGGTAGGCAATTTCATTATTCAAAGGGGGAGTTATATCTGGAATATATTTCAGTGATACAAATTCATTTAGCTTGCACAAGGAAGGCCCTCAATTTGATTCCAAGTACTTGTAATCAAAGAAAATCAAGTCTGGCCTCCAGTCCTACAAAAAAGTAACAATCACAACAGAAATACAGATATGGAAAGGGAAAGGGTTAGAATAAACACTGTCGGGCTAGGTAGAAACTAGATGTTCTATTATGGACTTACGTTATACACAGAAATTTGTCTAGCTTTGTTTTATAGACAAAGCTTAGAAATGACACTGGGTTTCCAGAGAGATGGCTCAGCTGTTAAGCATGTTTACAGCAGAGGACCCAAATTGGGTTCCCAACATCAGGCAACTCACAACCACCTGTAGTTCCAACATCCTTTCTGCCCTCTGACTGCATTTGCATCCATGTGCACATACCCACACACAGACACATACACATAATTAAAAAATAGTAATAAAAGGAAATAAAACCACAGCTTAAAGCAGCATCAACTAGACAACTGTGAACAATCTGAGATCAAAATAATGATAGTGAGGAGCTGCAACCGAAGATCCCAGAGTCTTTATCAATAGATACCAAAAATGAAAACCAATGAAAAAGAATCAAAGCTATTCCTCATAGTACAATTCAGACAAAAATCTAGAAGGAATGAAAACCAGAGGGGCTGGAGAGATGGCTCAGTGGTTAAGAGCATTGCCTGCTCTTCCAAAGGTCCTGAGTTCAATTCCCAGCAACCACATGGTGGCTCACAACCATCTGTAAAGAGGTCTGGCGCCCTCTTCTGGCCTTCAGGCATACACGCAGACAGACTATTGTATACATAATAAATAAATATTTAAAAAAAAAAAAAAAGAAAACCAGATGTCAGTCCCTATAGACTAAAGCACCGTGGGTGTGGACGCTACAACTAATAGGTAACAAGTTCTCTACAGGAAAGAAACACGTTACCTTTGTTTCGCATTGGAATGGTCAGCAGAGCAAGATACGGCAAGAGCTGAGTCTGAAGACACAAAGCTGGTAGGCAGAAGTCAAAAAAGAGGGCTTTTGCGGCCAGGCAATTTTCTCGATACTGTATGGGAGAAAGACAATGAAAGGAAAATAAAATTTTAAGATGGTTATACGTGTGGCACGGTGATTACTTTAATTCCAGCACCCAAGAGGCAGAGGCATGCATATTTCTGTAAATTTGAGGCTACCCTCATCTTCCTAACAAGTTCCAGGGCAATCAGAGCTACACAGTGAAATCCTGTTTCAAACAAATGCCAATTCTAACTTTATATAAGTTCATTAATACTTTGGGTCTGGTTAATTTGGTGTGTGATATTTTTATTTATTAGAAAGTTTATCGGGGCTGGAGAGATGGCTCAGCGGTTAAGAGCAATGCCTGTTCTTCCAAAGGTCCTGAGTTCAACTCCCAGCAACCACATGGTGGCTCACAACCATCTGTAATGAGGTCTGGTGCCCTCTTCTGGCCTTTAGACATACACACAGAAAGAATATTGTATACATAATAAATAAATAAATATTAAAAAAAAGTTTATCAATAATAAAGTTTAATAAAAAATTTAAAACCAAATCAAAAGTGGTTATGAATTCATAGATAAAGTTTATTATGCCACAAAGACTAAGTTTATGTACCATAAAGATACTTTTTTTCATGCAACCAGGTTGGTCTCCAAATAGGATTCCTCCCTCAGAGTGTATAAACATACTTTAAAGCATTTATCTGAGGCTGGAGAGATAGAAAGGTGTTGCCAAGCCTGAGACCTGAATCCCTTGAATCTCTCAAGCTGTTGTCTTTTGATCTCTAATGGTCTTCTCCCCAACACACAGACACACAATTTTAAAAAGTTATGTAAGTAGCAGTTATAATTGTCCTAGCATTACTAACAATATCCCATTACCCCGCAGCAGCCTCACACATGTGCATTTACCAGGTGTTCTCATGGAAGGCACAGTCCTCGCTCAGTGCCTGTCTGATGGGGACACCAATGATGGTACACCATGATAAAACCCAGTGAGGTTCTCAGGCTGTGGGACTGTGCATTACTGTAATCACCACAGCCAGTGCAACAAACCGCAAGTTCACCGCTCTTCACTGAAAAAAAAGTTGTTTTTTTTTTTTTCGAGACAGGGTTTCTCTGTGGTTTTGGAGCCTGTCCTGGCACTAGCTCTTGTAGACCAGGCTGGCCTCGAACTCACAGAGATCCGCCTGCCTCTGCCTCCCAAGTGC